CTGGGGACTTTCATGTTTAAATATTTCTATTTAATAGACAAAATATGTTAATATAAGTACTCTTGAGCCAGCTTCCTTTGCCTCTCGTACATTCCCCTGCTACAGAGATGTATGCTCAGGAGATCTAAACATTATTTTTAATGAACTTGTATAAAATGTAACCTACCCATAATAGGCTGATGAAATATAAAACCAAACATTATTTTTTTGCAAAAGTTACTTTGCCGACAATAAAAGAGGATTAAAGAAAAATATGTAAGACTAGTGAGTTTAAAAATTCATACTCTTACTGGCCAAACTCAAGCAGGAGTGTGTGTGTATCATGGAAGGATCATGAACAAACACTAATGCAAAGGAACAAGAGCTACTCATGGGATTAGGAAAGGCCTCCTGGCGGAAGTGATATTCAGTAAAACACTTGAAGGAGAAAAAGAAGTTGGCAGGATAAATGTGTGGCTTATAGTTGTGGGTGTGTGGGAATGGGGTAAGGCTGGTCAAGTAAAGAGTTTTGAGCAGATAGTACATCTCATAAAAATGATGGGAAATATAAATATTAGAATACACTGTACCTGGAATACAAATCTCAGGAGGGGGGGCAGGAAGGGGCTGGAAATGTCACGGGAAAACTAGAAAGGTAGTAGAATGCCTTGTAAACTTTGTTAAGGATAGGAAGCCAACGAAAGCCTAACATGGAAATAAGTGGTGTCTGGGTGGCTCAGTCGGTTAAGGGTCCGACTTCGGCTCAGGTCGTGATCTCACCTCAGTTTCTGAGTTGGAGCCCTGCATTGGGCTCTGTGCTGACAGCTTGGAGCCTAGAGCCTCCTTCAGATTCTGTGTCTCCCTCTCTCTCTGCCCCTCCCCCACTCATGCTCTGTCTTTCTCTCTCTCTCAAAAATAAACATCAAAACTTTTTTTTTTAAATAAATAAAGATAAAAATAAAACCACTACATTTATGTTTCCCAGAGGTCCTCCGAATCACCCACTTGTAGATCACCCCTTAGAGTGAATCTCCCTACAGACTTTTACTGACTCACAGGATAGGTCGAATCTTCACCTGCTCTTATTTGTGGGAGGCGATTTTATGTAAGGGGAGGACTTTGGATCTAGTCCCTCCTGACCAAGTAATAGTAGATGTAGGTTGACTATTTGCTTCAAGGAGTCATTGCTTCTTTTGAAAATAGTTTTCTCTGTTTATAGCATCAATTCCAAAAAATACTTTTTTAACACTGCATGAAAAACTTTATGTCACGATCAAAGGGAAAATAGGGACTGTGAACCTATATCAATTCACTGGACAACTGACTGAGGAACTACATGAGCAACTGGAGAAATTAGGCACTCATGGGACAATGGAGCTGAGCAACTTCGTAAGGTAAATAGTTGCATTAGTAGGGGTTAATCTTGTAGGGTTTTTGCATGTGGGTCTTTTTTTGGGGGGGGGAGGATAAAAAAATCTGCAGCCAGTGCATTGAACGTAAAAAATTATCTGGTGGATTAATGAAGTCTAAGTAGGTAATTATGAGATTATATTAATCTTTTCAATTCTAATTAACAGGTAGTTTTTAGTTAGCACACCAATTTTAAGGTGAGCAAATAAGCCCATACAATCATTTAAAAACATTTATAGTAATTTCTCTTTAGTGATGCCATGCCACATAGAACATATCTACCTACAGGGGATGCTGATAGGTGAGACAGGGTAGGGCAGTGGAGGAAGCCAAATGGCCTCAGCTGTGTTCTGAAGCTTTCTGGCAAAGGTCAGGGCTGGTCAGAGGGAGCCATGAGAAAAATTCCCAGCATGCATAAGGAGATTTGGTAAATTGAAGTTACTGCGTCGGCCATTTTTCCATCTCATTAGGATGCCGAGGGCAGGATTCAATAGTTCAGATTCATGATAAAAGAGCAGCGTTTACTATTTTGTTAGAGGTCCAACAAGAGAGAGAGAGGAAAACAAACCAAAAAACAAAATAAGCAGCCATCCAAACTTGTAGCATGTCCAGTACCTACAACAAAACAAAGCAAATTCTTGGATGTCTTTGAAACTTTGGGGGAAGCAGATCCTGAAAAACTGGTGAAGAAGGGATGGTAAATAAAAATGAAACAGTACTTGGTGTCACTAGTCTAAGTCGTATTAATAATCTTTGATTTTTTTTCACTTAAGTATGCCACAGTAATCATTTTATTTACTTATGGCAAAACTTAATGACGATAGGTACTATATTTCAGTACGCAGTGGTTCAGATCTGTGGGATCCTGTGAGAGCTTAGGAAATTTGGTAACTAGTGTTGCCCTGAGGCTTTGGTTATTTTTTGCTGCTCTCTAAAATCATGGGCTGTATCTTAGTTAGTGGTATTACTTGCTAAGTAAGCGCTTGTTGAAATTACATTGAGTCAATTTCTTTCTGGCGTATCATCTCACATTTGTCAAGATCTAACAATGCTTGCTTAGAAAGCATTTTAAAATCTTCAGAGAAATAAACCAAAATTTCAGTTACCCCTAAGTTATCTTGACCACAGTGAGCAAATATTAAAACCTTCTAAGAGTAACACTTTCCCAAAAGAATCTGTGGCACATTATTATCTACCCCTAATATATATCTATTGAAGTAACGCCCTTTTTTTTTGTATCCTGTACCTTTCTTCTTTGGTCATTGGGTCTGACTTTTTATGTGTTTTTATCTTTGTAGGCATCTGCTTTATCCGGTTTCAGTGAATATACTCTTCCAAAAAGGCTTGTTCCCCACAAATGAGAGAAAAATCAGGGAGTTCCATCAGCATTTTCAAGCTTACGACGAAGGTTTCGAGTACGGGTCCCAGATGCCAGAGTGTCTCCTAAGGTAGAGAGATTTTCCCTATAATTAATTAACCAACCAAGCTCCTCCCAGAAATACATACGTGTCTCATTTTCCTCTTCTGAGTAGGGAGAGCAGCATCCAAGTGGAAGACACAAAAGCTACTTCTCATGATCAGATTTTGTTTGTGGTTTGTGTTTAAATTATTGGAGGAACTGAAGAAGAGAGAGATGCATTCTTTCCTTTTTTTTTTTTTAATTTTGAGAAGCAAAAATGAGATGGGAGAGAGGGAAAGCGAGAGAGAGAGTGTCAACATGAAACGAAGAATTTCTCTCATTTACTGCTTATTATTATCACAGTCGTGGCTGTAGTTTGGAACCATGCTAAATCACCAAGTATCATCGATCATAGATGTTGTTGTCTTTAGTCTCTCTGAGGCAAAAGGAGACATGGTCAAATGTATTTCTCACGGTTGGCTCTCATGGTTTGAATGCAAAATAACACATGAATTCTTAAATGCCTTAGCAGCTGGTCTGCAGTAGTGGTTGGTCAGATAATATTAAAAAGATCATAGCCGGTTTGTTTCACCCGGCTTAAGCCAGTCCTCGGTCCCTGTGCAAGTTTTTCATCCTTCAGCAACTGACAACAGCCCAAGTAAAAGTAGGGCAAGCAGGTCATTCTCTTTTTTTTTGTATTCGATGCCAATCCTGTAAGAATGCAAACATTTATTCGCAAAAAAAAATCACTAAAAATGTGGCTGCCTTGCCTCCTCGATTTTTCTTGTGGACTAGTAAGTCTGAAGGAAGACCTCGCATGAAATTCTGGCAAAACTGAAGACGAAGCTTGGAGAAATAATTCCATAGTTATTCCCCCTTTCGCGCCGTGACCGGTTATTCCTGAAGTGCTTTCCCGTTAACTTATGCACCTACTTTTTCCTCACCCAGTCACTGGTCGAAATCCAAAAAGTGGCTTTTAGCACTCTTTGAGAAAAACATTCCCGATATAAAAACATACAGATCTGCGAAAGATAATTCCGTGGTAAGTATCCCTTAGTTGTTTTTTTTTCTAAAATATGTGGGATGAAAGCAGTCATAAGCTATGGTTTTTAAAAGATGTTTTGCTAAAAACTCATAAGATTGTTCAGGTGACATGTTTGTGTCAAGTACCGTGTTGGATGTTTACGTACATTAATCTGTGGCTACATCCTCACAACAATGAGGTAGGTATTATTGGTCTTCTACATAAAGAAAAAAACTGAGGCTACGGCAACAACATATAACAAGATGCTCAAGGTTTTACTGATTTATGTATCCTGCAGTTGTGTCAGCAATGGTAGGTAGGAATTATGGTGCGTCAGGCAAGGAGAACAAAGCTCCATAGGCTTTGTTCTTCATGTCACTACCACTGATTGTTTCTCTCTTCAAACGCAAGGATGTGGTAAGATATAATTTGAAAAGCAATGCCCTGGGAGCCACTGTCCTAAGGGTCCTAGATCTGTGGTTCTTCAGGTGTGGTCCCTAGACCAATGGTACCAACATCGCCTTGGGACCACTCAATCGGAAACTCTGGGATGGAGCCCACCAGTCTGTGCTTTGATGGGCCTTCCAGGTGGTTCTTACACTTGCGTAATGAAAGGAAGAAAGGTTCTCAGCCCTGTCTGCTCATCAGAATCTCTGGGAAGCTTTGAAAACTATCTGATTCTCCAGACTTCCCCTACCCTCCACTGATCAGAGACTGGGATTCACTGAGTCTGAGCGCGGGCTCAACTTCGGTCTCCAGTCACATGACCTTGGGCGTGGCACCTCGCCTCTTGGCCTCAGTTTCTTCACCTGCCTCATAGAATGTGGGGCTTAAATGAGTTAATATTTGTGAAGCAATTAGAGAGTAGTGAGGACCACATCAGAGCTTACACCATGTGATTATCATTAAAAATCAGATCTTTTTTTTTAAATATGAAATTTATTGTCAAATTGGTTTCCATACAACACCCAGTGCTCATCCCAAAATGTGCCCTCCTCAATACCTATGCCACCACCTCCTCCACCCCCATCAACCCTCAGTTTGTTCTCAGTTTTTATGATTCTCTTATGCTTTGGCTCTCTCCCTCTCTAACCTCTTAAAAATCAGATCTTTTAGTATTTACAGATGATACCAAACATCTCTGTTTGCTTGCTTTTATGTTATGATAGCAAGTGTTATCACAAGCAACTCTGCTTAACACTGGAGAGGAAGGTCGCGTTAGAAAAATAGGGATGTGTAAATGCTTAGGTATCTCCCTCCTAAATAAAGAGAACAGAAAACTACTCTGGAATGCCCTTTATTGATAAATGATGTTGCAGCTAAGGATTCTATTTTATAAACAGACCCAGACAAATACATTTTTGTTTGCATAATTTTCCAGGATTGAGGGGAAAAGCCCCATGTGTGTAAAAGATTCATCCATATAGATCTGCAATTTGTGGGTCTGGAAACAGGGTTTTTAATGCCACAGCTAAACTCTCCACTGACAATACTTCTAGAGTAACATTTCTCATTCCTATTCTGAAGAAAGGAGGCATTTTTTTTTTTTTGGATCTAATCCCCTCCTGACCAAGTAATAATGTAATAGATGTAGGTTGACTATTTGCTTCAAAAGAGTCATTAGCTAACTTTTGAAAATAGTTTTCTGTTTAGCATCAGTTCAAAAATACTTTTTTAACACTGCATGGCTTATGTCGATCAAAGGGAAAATAGGGACTGTGAACCTATATCAATTCACTGGACAACTGACTGAGAACTACATGAGCAACTGAAATTAGGCACTCATGGGACAATGAAACAGCAAATTAAGGTAAATAGTTGCATTAGTAGGGAGGTTAATCTTGTAGAAGATTTTTTGCATGTAGGTCTTTGCTTTTTTTGGGGGGGAGAGGAGATAAATCTCTACCTTCTTAGTGCATTGGCATGTAAAAGTATCTGGTGAATTAACATGAAGTCTAAGTAGGTAGTATGAGGAATTATATTAGCTCTTTTTCAATTCTAATGCTGCAGGTAGTTTTAGTGCCTTTTACAATTTAAGAGTGAGCTCATCGCCCTTACAATCATTTAAAACATTTATAGTAATTTCTCTTTAAAAGTGATGCCATACCACATAGAGCATATCTACCTACAGGGATGCTGATAGAGTGAGTAGAAAGAACGAAGTAGGAGCAGTGGAGAAACCAATCGACAGCACTCCAACTGTATTTCTGAAACTTTCTAGCAGAGTCAGAACTGGTCAGAAACCGAAAAATTTAGCATAAGGAGATTTGGTAAATTGAAGTTCATCATTATTCCATCATTAGGATGCGAGGGCAGGATTCAATAGTTCAGATTCATGATAAAGAGCAGCGTTTACTATTTTTGTTAGAGGTCCAACAAGAGAGAGGAAAACAAACCAAAAAACAAAATAAGCAACCATCCAAACTATCTAGCATGTCAGTACCTACAACCTACAAAGCAAATTCTTGGATGTGCTTTGAAACTTTGGAAACGGTTACAAGAAAACTGGTGAAGAAGGGATGGTAAATAAAAATGAAACAGTACTTGGTGTCACTGAATAAGTCAATATTAATCTTTGATTTTTTTTCACTTAAAGAAAGTATACCCACAGTAATCATTTTATTTACCTTAATAACAATGGCGATGGGTACTATATTTCAATGATGCGCGCCAGTGGTTCAGATCTGGGATCCTGTGAGAGGCTTAGGAAATTTGGTAACTAGTGTTGCCCTAATGAGGCTTTAGTTGTTTTTGCTGCTCTCTAAAATCATGGGCTGTATCTTAGTTAGTGGTATTACTTGCTAAATGTAAGCTTGTTGAAAATCCAAAGTCAATTTCTTTCTGGTATCATCTCACATTTGTCAGATCTAACAACGCCCAGAAAGCATTTTAAAATCTTCAAATGACCAAAAATTTCAGTTACCCCCCTAAGTTATCTTGACCCACAGTGAGGGCAAATATTAAAACCTTAAGAACACTTTCCCAAAAGATCACGGCAACATTATTATCTACCCCTATTATATATCTATTGAATGTAGCATGCCCTTTTTTGTATCCTGTACCTTTCTTCTTTTTGGTCTACATTAGGTCTGACTTTTATGTGTTTTTTATCTTTGTAGGCATCTACTTTATCTGAGTTTCAGTGAATATACTTCCAAAAACATTTCCCCACAAATGAGAGAAGAGAAAAAATCAGAGGAGTTCCATCAGCATTTTCAAGCTTCTGTGAAGGTTTTGTCTGAGTCCCAGATACAGAGTGTCTCCCCTAGTGAGAGATTTTCCTATAATTAATTAACCAACCCAAGCTCTCCCAGAAATACATCGTGTCTCTTTCATTTTTCCTCTTCTGTGAGTGACAGCATCCAAATGGAAGACAAAGCTACTTCTCATGATCAGATTTTATTTGTGGTTTGTGTTTAAATTATTGGAGGAACTGAAAGAGAAGATGCATTCTTTCCTTTTTTTTTTTTTGGTAATTTGAAAACAAGAGGAGGAAGCGGAAGAGAAGAGAAATGTCAACATGAAGCAATTTCTCTCATTACTGCTATTATTATACCTTATCACAGTGGTAGCTGTAGTTTTGGAACCATGCTAAATCACCAAGTATCTCGCCGATCATGATGTTGTTGTTTTTAGTCTCTCTGAGGCAAGGAGACATGGTCAAATGTATTTCTCACGGTTGGCTCATGGTTTTGAATACCAAAATAACACATAATTCTTAAATGCCTTAGCTGGTCTGCAGTAGTAGTTGGTCAGATAATATTAAAAAAGATCACCGAAAAGCCTGGGTGCTGCGCTGGTCGGTTCGCGTCCGACTACTGTAGCCAGGTTTGATGTCGCTTGTCCCTGGGTTTTGAGCCCCGCGCGTCGGGCTCTGTGATGGCTCAGGGAGCCTGGGCGCCTATTTCCGATTCGTGTCCCTCTCTCTGCCCTCCCCCGTTGCATGCTCTGTCTCTCTCTGTCCCAAAAATAAATAAACGTTAAGTAAAAAAAAAAAAAAAAAAAAAAAAAGATCATAGCCGGTTTCTTCACCCGGCAAAGCCAGTCCTCGGTCCTGTGCAAGTTTTTCATCCTTCAGCAACTGACAACAACCCAAATAAAAAGTAAACCCAGGTCATTCTTTTTTTTTTTGTATTCGATCTCTTGATCCTGTGGGAATGCACAAGCATTTATTCACTTAAAAAAAAATCACTAAAAAATGTGGCTGCCTTGCCTCCTCGATTTTTCTTGTGGATAGTAAGTCTGAAGGAAGACCTCGCATGAAATTCTGTAAAACGAAGACGAAGCTTGATAATTCATAGTTATTCCCCTTTCGCGCCGTGACGGTTTATTCCTGAAGTGCTTTTCGATTATGCACCTACTTTTCCTCGCAGTCACTGGTGTAGAAATCAAAAAAAAAGATGTAACTGCTGTACTCTTTAGAAAAACATTCCGATATAAAAACATACCACGAATCTCGCGAAGATAATTCGTGGTAAGTATCATAGTTGTTTTTTTTTCATAAATATATGTGGGATGAAAACAGTCATAAGCCTCAGTTTTTTTAAAGATGTTTTGCTAGAAAACTCATAAGATTGTTCAGGTGACATGTTTTGTGTCAAGTACCGTATTGTTGGATGTTCATTACTGTCTGTGGCTACATCCTCACAACAATGGGTAGGTATTATTGGTCTTCTACATAAGAAAAAACTGAAGAGATGCGGCCTTGTAACTTAACATATAACAGATGCTCAAGGTTTTGCTGATTTATGTATCCTGCAGTTAATGTGTCAGCAATGGTAGGTAGGGGTATTATGAATTAGTCAGGCAAGGAGAACATAAAGCTCCATAGGCTTTGTTCTTCATGTCACCACCACTGATTGTTTCTCTCTTCGCCAGCATAAGGATGTGGTAAGATACTCAGAAAAGCAATGCCCTGGAACTTTTTTTGTCACAAGATTCTCGTCTGTGGTTCTTCAGGTGTAATTCCCTAGACCAATATTTTCTGCTTGGCAGGACCACTCAATTCAGAGAGAAGC